TTTTCGGACTAGAAATAGTTGGCTTGAGTTTTCGAGTCCTGTACGAGTATGAAGTGTTACTCGATGAGTCGCGTGTAGCTGAAACGAGGATCTATCGGTAACAAGTGGTAATTAGCACCTCAGTGTCTGACGCATGTTTATGACCGATGAACAAGACAGGTATCGCGCCTGCAGCCCGCTAGCAGCTATCCGCGAGCGTCAAATGGTTCAGGAAGTCACTTGATCTCTAGTCTGATCTTGAAGAAAGTTAAGGAGGTTTGGCAACAGAAACACTCTGGCTCCATGAGATAGGACCTCGATCGAGACGCTTGTGGCTGGCAATAGACAGTCAAATTGGACATATTTCTGCCAAACGGAACTATGTGCATTAACTCATGAGCCCTGAGACTCATGAGAATAGACGTGTAGCAGGGTTCACGTCATAATGCACATGTTCCGTTTGGCAGAAATACGTCCAATTGTTGGGCGGAATCAGTACACAGCTTGTTTTAGATAAATTTCTTGAATTGTTTGTAGAAAGTTACCGAGAATGGGAAAGAAGGGGTACCGATAAGGGACAAAATCCTAGAATCCCAGAATTTTTCAAAATCAGTTGACGACGTATAGTACTTTCAGAAATATTTTGATTTTGGTGATTATAAAGTTTTTCAGCCTTAAAACGACGGCAAAACTGGTGTCCGAAGGCAAAAATCGGCTGAAATGTGCGTTTTTTCAGTGTTTTAGTTCACCTCGGATTTTATGTCGGGCTTAATGGCGACTCAGTAGAATCTGCATAAATTTTACGTCTCAAATAGTCTCAGACTACATATTTGAAATAAGTACATCGACGTACCTTTGGGTTGGATGAAACTGAGATAAGACTGAGAAAACATGAATTTTAGCCGATTTCGGTCTTCGAACCCTAGTTTGGATCTCCGTTTTGAGGACGAAAAATATAAGTAGTGCCAAATCCTTAATATTTTTGAAAAATGTTCGTCGTAAACTGTGAAACATTGGAAAATCCCGTGATTTTGGGAGGGCAAAAATTATTGTCTCTTGTCGATTCCTCTTTTAAAAGTCGCATTTTATACTGAGAGTCAAAATTCGGTCTGAAATGTATGGGTTGCGAATAAAACCTAGAGCCATTATTCGCCGGAAATTCTTTTTTAATTATGTATTTTTCTTCTCTCCTTGTATCCTCATATTAATCTTCGGAAAATTGAAAATTAAATGATTTTCAAACGAGTATTAGATCAGTTGGACTGCATTTTGCAATGAGGAACTGCGATTTCTGGCTTATCCGTAAAAATACCTATCTGCATAGGGAAACTAACGGTGCATACGTTGTTTCGAAACTGAAGCAAAAATTGTAGTTCCTGATAGCAAAACGTTGTCCAGTTATTCTTCTAAAGCGAACAAGCATGGTGTCAACAAACACAACTTTCAACACTTTCTTCCTACTTGTAAAATCATGCAATATCACACGGATACATATTCCTCTCACGGTACGAGATCATTTGCATGGTTCACCGAAAACATTGCCTAATTTCACGTAAACCTGAAACAAAATAGGAATTAGAACTCGCGAGACAAGGCCGCCCGAGGCGACACACAGTGGATCGAGTCAATAAGAGAGGTCGGACAAAATTTGGAAACTTTAAACTCCGTTTATACAAAACTTTGAAGTTCTAAAAGTGGTTCCATTGGTTTCCTCGTGAGCTTTTCTTCAGAAAGCACCCCTTAAAGTTCGAAATGCGGCGATATAAACACAAAAATTTTCAGTTTTAGTCAAAAATTTCATGTCCGACCTCCCTGCTTGACTCGATCTACTGTGCGACGGAGAACGCGTAATACGGTTCTGCATACAAGTTGAATAGCTGGCGATTGGAGGACAAGCAAGAGAATTGAGCGAGGATTATCGCGTTTTACTAAGGACTTTAATGACAGCCAGACTCATCCATGTAAATGGATCTGGGACGTGACATGACGTGACGAAGCCGGGAGCGTACACTCTTACTCCAGCACGCGCGCCATCACTTTCGTGGTCCTTTCCGTGCGACGTGACTTTTCAGCCGGGTTCAGAGCCGGGGTTTACCTTTGTTCCCCTCTCTCGCTCGTTGTTTCACGCCGAGTTAATCTCCGAAAGTGTACCTAATAAAACTCCGAGGCAGAAGAAGAGCATATCGACGGTGAAACTACCAAACCACGTATCTCGGTTTGCGACGTCGCAGACGCTTCCTGTCATACTTTATTTTTTAAATGGAAAACTACTTAACGTCCAGTCTTGAAAATTTCTGTGATTTTTCCTCTTTGTGCGGAGAGAATTCTGTGGAAATTTCAAAGAATGATATTGATTTGGTCGACTTCAAAAAAATAAAATGCGAGCGTAGATTTTTAAACGCCGCAAACGAGATACGTGGTTTGGTAGTTTCACCGTCGATATCGACGCGTGAGGTAATGGACTGAAACGAGCGATGCTGAAATTGCGGAAGACGCCGCGCGCCGGCGCACTATGGTCCGAATAGCCGGTTTAAGCGGCATTAAATCAGATACGTATGTTTAAACCTCGCAATATGAGTTTTCAGGGGTTTTTAGGGTCGCTGAGTGCAAAAATGCTAATATTCTTCAGGAAAAATCCATTTTTAACATTTTTATACTTTATATAACTGTGGTAATAATTTGTTCACAAACCTTAAATTGAGGTTGCAAGTTCGAGTTGAAGCGGTGGAGCAGTTGGCATCGCGTCTCACTCGTCTTCTTGATGTCCCGGGTTCGATTCCCGGGAGAATTTTTTTTTTTTTTTTTTTT